ACCAACTTAGCTTCTACAGTTCTACCCAAAATAAAGGGTAAATGTGGTAAATTTTAGACATTTTAGATGTGGGTGTAGAATTGTTTAATGGGATGCGCAAAAAATGAAACGGTAGATCTTTTTTGGGACACAAGGGGTATGATGCATCTTGTAGATGGAATAGTGGTTGGAAAGTCTCTTCCTAATAATTACAACAAAATCTAAGGACTTTTGTGATATATTCGAAAGTGAAATGTATACTAAATAGCACTAAAACATATGTTCTTTTCCAAAATAGCACTTAAACTTTTTAATTCTCGAAATAGTATTTGAATAATGTCTAGTGGCGGGAATAATATGATGTCTAGTGATGGTATACATTTAGTTTGAACAATGTCCAGTGACGATGAATTACTTGAACAATGCTCAGTGAACATTGAACAGTGGTACTACATTGGAAAATAAAGATATATAGTACTACACTGGAGAAGTCAGTATTTTTAATACGGAGTAGTATCTATTAGGTAAATTATTGGCATGGAATTTAGATGGTTGTTTTGTGCCATGCATAACTGTATAAGCACCACACACCACGCTATGGATGCACCCCAACGCGAAGCTCCCGGCCGAAAGCTAACCACTTTAATCCTTAATCCAGCCAGCGATCTTGCTCCTTTTCCACCTTTTTCTGCCCATAAATGGATCCGAACAACAACTCCCAATTAAATAATTAATCACATTATTAATTTAATTACACAAACCTAAAATTAATACTCCGTAGTACAATAATTAATGGGATATCTGGTCCAAATCTCCACTAGCCCTGCAGTGGCGTCGGCGGCGGCAATAATGATAGTTCTAGCGCTGGTGGTGGAGCAGGGCGGAGGGCAGATGCCGCCGCAGGTAATGGGGCAGTGCATCATCAACTGCGGGCAGAGAGCCATCACGTGCGCCGTCCAGTGCGGTGCCGCCGCCGTGCTCGACTCCTTCGGCTGCGTCACCGGTTGCGGCACCGACAACATCAACTGCGTCACCGGTTGCCTCGGCGGCTCCTTCACCCCTCCCGCCAGTACTACCGCCTCACCCGCCGGAGTTTAGTTTAATTTGATGCCGGACCGGAGCCTTTATTAATCATATTTATTTCTCCATTATTATATACTCCGTATTTATTTGCATTATACTATATGTAGAAAAATAAGTATACTCCCTATTGTATGTGTGTGTTTGTTGATTATTGTAATAAAGCTCCCTCGCCTAATAGCTTAAATCATACTCCCTCCTTCCCGAAATGTTATTCACATTTGACTTTTCTTGGTCAAAGTTTGTAAACTTTGACTATGATATGTGGAAAAAATATATTGTATTGCGATATAACTTTAATATGAATATATTCGTTTTGAAATATAGTTTTCAAATATCAATTTTTTAAAAATATATCCATGTAGAAATAAAAATATTAGTGGTCAAAGTGCAATCTTGGAGACCGTAAAAAATCAAATGAGAAGAACATTTCCGAACGGAGGCAGTACTCCGTATTTACTACTCGCACTACTAATATAGAAATAAAGTCCACATGTGTACCTATTCATATATTTTTCATGGGTTTATAAATTATAATTGAATCTTTTTTTACAAGGCTATTGCACATAATCATTTTATGTATTATGATTCATAAAATGAGCATGAATCTAAGAATCACAAAAAAAGATTTTTCCATCCCAAAATAAGATTCCATAATTAATGGAACATAATTATTCATAATGAAATACTCCAAATTAATCTTTACATATGATACCAAATCTTAACATTTTTCCCTAAATAGTATGGTACTCCGTACCTAAGATTTTATGCTCCATCTCTCCCAACGTAATACTCTTAGTTTAACCTAACTTGACACGAAGTTTAAATAAAATGATAAATTATGTTGAGTTTTTTTTCTTCAATTTTTCCCTAACTTCTTCCAGTTTCTTCCAACTCTTTCTAGTTTTTCCAACTTCTTCCAAATTCTTCCAACATGAAACCCAACCTGAAAATAATTGGTTTTGAATAAAAACTTTTTTGACCGAACCAAAAGTTGACCGAACCCGAAATGACCCACGAAAAATGGGTCAAACCCGATCGAACCTGAATCTGACCAGACCGACCCGCTAATGTAAGAATTTTTCAGAATTATATATTTTACTAGGAAATATAATGTTATAAAAATAACGTTATCATTCCATATTTTTTCTTACTCATTTTTAGTGTATAAATTTATATTTCCAGACAAAATTTTAATGATATTGCAAAATTATATGCATATTTTAATTTTTTATATTGATTTGTATACCTTAAAATTGCTTCATAATTTAAAATAAAATAATTTAATAGATTTAATACATATTTTTTGATATTTTAATTTTATTTAATGCGAAATGCAATTATTAAGATGAATTTAAAAATTTTAAAAACTCAAGTCATAACCCGTTGAATTGGGTCAGCTCGAGCCCGATTATACTGGGTCATGAACATATATATAGTTCTCAACCCAAACCCAAATTGATGACCCGATCTCGAAGTAATCCGAACCTGAAGTAACCGACCTCAAACCCGACCAGACCATCCGATTTGTCAGCTCTACTTATAATATACCTATAGTTTGTAAAGGGCGCACACCCCTAATGTAATTTTTTCGGATGGAGAAAATAAAATTCAGGTTGCAATGCCCTTAAATTTGGAAGACAGAGATTTTCCTGCAACCTCTTATGTTAGTACTAGAGGTGGCAATCGGGTCAACCGGATTGGTTTCGGATTGGGTTTTTTTGATTCGGATATCTTTCGTTTATATGTTATAATCAATTCGTTTCGGTTCGGGTTTGATTCAGTTCTATATGTTTTTTGGTTTCGGTTCGGTTTCAAGTCGGTTCAGATACGGTTCGGATAGATTTTGGTTCGGATACAATTTGGACTAGATATATTTCAGTTTCGAATCTAGTCCGGGTCGAATATATTTCGGTTTCGGATATGTTTCATTTCAGATATATTTCAATCAAACATATTTTGGATATATATTATTTTCTCATTAAGATTTAATTATCCATATTTCTTTCTATGTTTTATCACATTTATCAATCTATCATCAATTCAATACCTCATGTTATTTTATATTTTTTCTAATTATACTATTACCACCCAAGATACTCTTCCTCTTTTGACTTTCTAGTCATATGTTACAAATTTGGACTAAAAATTATGAAAAAATATATATTTAATTATGATATAAATTTAATATAATTAAATTTATTTTAAAGTTTAGTTTTGATCAATCAAATTTTTCTCACATATACTAATATATTTATTTTATAAAAGTAAAGATAAAAGATAAATTCAAATAGTGTTACACTCCAATTGAATACAATTTGGTAAAAATTGAATGAAATTGGGTGGAATTAAGTAAATTCTATTCAACCGAGTGCAAAATTTATAAATTATTTGTGTATTTGGTTGATATTAGATAAAATTTTAGTCAAATATAATTAATTTTACACCTAAATTTAATGGTGTAGATCAAATTTGAAATTGATAACACTAAATGTTATCGCTAGAGACCCTTCTCAAAATGCTAACACTAATATCTAACGTTGTTGATTAATATTGAGTAAACTGGTTTGAAACTAATCAAATTAACTCCTAAACCAATAAAATGTATCGTAAATGGATGGAATTAGGATAAAATCTAGTTTTTCCATACAATTCATCGTATAATCCTTTTGTCCCAAAAAGAATATCACACTTCACTATTAAAAAGTTATGGAATTTCATTTATTTGTGCGTTATCATTGATTATTTGATAAAATAAAATATTATTCTTGTAATCTCTTATTTTGTAAAACTTATGACATATTTTTTTGAATATGTAAATATTTTTTTATTTATATACCAATCTTTAAATAAAAGAAATTTAAAAAACATAAAATCTTACTTTGTTTTGCGTTACGTAGCATTCATTCTAAGATGGAGGGAGTTTTTTTCAAAATAAGATTATTTTAATTAGATTTTGTAACTTAAAACTAAAATTAGTATTGTATTTTTAATATAATATCTAAGCAAAGACATAATTTTTCATGTCTAATCTTCCTCCCTAAAGCTCAAAGTCTTCCCCATTCCTTTTCACTTTCCCTCCTTAACCTAATCACTTTTCTTACGCCACCATTCAACTCATTTCCATTTCTCACTCACCTTCAACTTTTAGACCTAATTTTCTTCAACTGATGCTTCATCTTATTTTTCAAATATTTTATTCCCTTTTATTGTGTTAATAATAATATAGTTGGCTCACTTTATTCGTCCGATATTTTATATGTATTACTTCTGTTCAATTTCTAAATATAATAAATTTAAGGCATGATAGTTGGTAGTGTTTTTAAAGATGGTAACCCATTTTATGAGGAAATGAACAAGTAATGTAATTAGTTCAAATGGTAAAATAAAAGTAAAAGTTTAAAAATATAATATGCTTATTGAAAGGCAAACAATGTTTCGAATTTTATTGATTTTAGTTCTAATCGGGTTCGGATATTATCGATTTCGGTTCCAATCGATATCGAGTTTTATCAGTTTCGGGTATTATCAGTTTTGGATATAATCGATTTCAGATTTAATCGATTCGGACATGATCGGTTTCGGATCTAATCGGATTTGAATCGGATATAAATTATTTAATTCTGTTTTGGTTCGGTTTGGATCATTTCGGATTTTTGGTTATAAATCAGATCTTCATTTTTTGGATTATTTCGGTTTTGGTTTCGGATAATTTGGTTCGAGTAATCGATTCCGGATCTGTTTTGCCCGGTCTAGTTAGTAGTCCCAGGGATATAATATTTCTTTCGAAACAAATGCGTGGAAGCAAGAACACAAGGAATATATTTATTAGTTTACCTTTGTTTCATAATTGACCATGTACAGTATATAGACACTTCATACATAGGAGTGAGTAAGTGTTCCTTTTTTTTTGAAAAAAAAGAAAGAAAGAAAGACTTCCACGCATTTGAGTGTATCTATGGAGCACGTTAATGTGGAATTAATCTGAGGATGGATATATGGGGAAGATATGAGGTTACAGAATGAGGCAGCGGCAGGGATAACACAAGGGAACATCTCTTTTCCGCCTTCTTCTTCTTCCTCTTCTATTCCCACTCCCTTTGTATTTTTCTGAGCCTTTCCTTCCTGAAACATTGTTCTGTCTAAATCTGTACAAGTAATCAATAAACACCCTTTAATTTATCACTGTCCTTAATTAGAATGCACCCATACATACATGCATCATATACATGGAGTATGTATTTGATGAGTATTATTATTATTAATGATATGTTAATTTTCTTATTTAAATTGGTGGGACTAGTTCAACACCTTCAAACAATGAATCTTTCCCTATCTCCATTCGTCTTTAGCCAATTGGTGATATGATATCAAGTTTGGGATTGATGATATCAACTCTCTCCACATTAATAAACAAGCATACATAATGCTTCCAATGTTGCAGCATAAGCGGCATGTGCATGTTTGGAGAGGGGGGAGCAAGTTTAACCACATGACATTTGAGAGCCAGGTGGGGTGGGGGTGGGGGTGGGGGAGCAGATATCAGAATGTTGACAAAAAATGTCATTGATGAAGAAAACAAGCAAGTTCTCCAATGGCATGCTCATACAGTCATACTAGGGAAGAAACACTAGAAGTAGTCGGTAAGAACCAGAACTACAAAATCAAGGAATGTAGCAAACACGATACTGGAAAAGTAAGTAGCATTTTGAAAACAATGAGAATGGGAAAACATGCAAAGCACCGAAACAATGTATGGTTCCTAGCAAGAAATTGGAAATCTCAAACTTATCTGCCCTTGTTTTCCTTCTTTGTACTCTTTTTTTCACTCTTTTACGTCGGTCTAAAGATTAAGTTTGAGGGTTGATTGTATTCTCACTTGGCCATCATGACCTTCACAAATTCCTCATAGTTGATTTGACCATCCCCATCAACATCAGCCTCGCGGATCATCTCATCAACCTCCTCATCGGTAAGCTTCTCACCAAGGTTTGTCATGACGTGGCGAAGTTCAGCAGCAGAGATGTACCCATTTTGATCCTTGTCAAACACCCGGAAGGCTTCCTTCAGCTCCTCCTCAGAATCTGTGTCCTTCATCTTACGGGCCATGAGATTAAGGAACTCTGGAAAGTCAATAGTCCCATTCCCATCAGCATCAACTTCATTGATCATATCTTGAAGCTCAGCCTCAGTTGGGTTCTGTCCCAATGACCGCATAACTGTTCCAAGCTCCTTTGTAGTAATGCATCCTGAAAGAAAGCTTGTTCAGTTTAGAATTACTAACACAACATTTTCAGTTTCTGGTCCTATGACTATTCTGCGTACCCATTTTTTCGCCCCAGACTCTTTTCAAATTTTGTGCATGACTATTGGTTACTTGAGACCGATTGGATCCTTCCGAGCGCTTATTTGGCCAATTTATGTATAAATTCCCAGTGATTTTGTTGGGTAACTAATAAGGAATGATCAAAAAGTGGCAAACAGTCCATGGTCGTACACAAATGTGAAAAAATGAAAGTTGGGAACCTAAAGTGGAAATAACCTAATAGTCATGATACTAAATGTGGAAAATTATGGAGTATTCGTACTACAATGCCTCTCGTCTCGTGTTTTCAATCCCCTTCTAAGCATTGAATAAGATAATATAGGTTCTACCTTCCACCAAAATGTAAATGGAATTCATACAAGCATAAAAACAAGACCAAAAAAATCATGAAATAGAAAACAAAATAAGCACACATAGCAAACAGGTCATTTAAAGTATGTTCTACTTATAGACTTTGTGGCCTTTGGGAGGGCATGAGAAGTGTGATCATCAAAGAAAGGTTTGGGTGTTGGACAGAACCGTTTCTAAACAGTTAAAGCTACAACAGCCCAATTAATCTGATCTTAAGCTATAAGTACATACTGGTATGTTTTCCTCCTTTTTAGCTAATATGCAAAAGTTAAAAAAAATCTACTGATGTACTTCGTATAACAGTTTGTATTTAAAATTCTCAGTCAGATCTCATTCATAGTTCCATAATAATTATAATAAACTATTAATGAATAAGAGTAGAGAGGTACATCCAATTAAACTAAAAAAGAAGGGAAAACCGAATCAAACTATATTCAGAACATCTCACTCGAGAGTAAGGTTGGGTGAGGTAAGATGTATGTACCCTTACCCCTGGGAGTACAGAAAAAAGAAAATGTACCCCAAGTGTTGACTCAGAAGAAATAAAAAAGATAAGCAATCAGAGAGATGAAGAGGAGAGAGAAGATTAATCATTACCAGTTTGTCAAGCACTCACCAATAGTAGGTCCAACAATCCCAACTCCCAAGATAGATAACAAATGAGCAGTGCTCAAAGGCGAAGAGTACAGAAAAGAAGTGTGAAAAGGTGTGACGTTTGGACTAGTGATTTGATGATTCATACATTTGAAGAGTAGGATTTCCTTCTTGGATTTGGGCTGATCATCCAAGACATGACCCAGCACATATGTTTCAAAGATTGGATATCCATGATCTTACGATCTGACTAGACAATCCTAATTGAGTGCAGAATGTTTTGAACCTAACCATGATCCAGATGCAATCCTAATAACACCAATTTGAGCCAACTTGAGCCTAAGTATCACATATTCGAGCTTGACTCAAACCTACTTCGAGTCAGGCTCAAGCTTGACTCTTTAAGACTTCATGCTTAGAACCATGTTCAAACACAACTCATTTGAAAACAAGATTCATATGTAAATGTGAGGTATACATGAGAACTAAGTGATAATTATGCCTTAATTATGAATCCAAATCGAGCTCCCAAGCCGAGCTAAGCTAAGCTTGTTAACTTACCCGAATCAAATCGAGATCAGGCTTTCTCAAATAAACAAGTCAACATCAAGTAAGGCTCGTTTCTCATAAGAAGGCTTATGTTCTTAGCATGGGTTTGAATAGCTATTTAAAAAAACTTTTTCTTGAGCCGATCTTTTGTTTCCATCCATATTTCGGAAGTATTCTAATCGTCCTCTCCATTTTTCTTGCTATTCTGTTTCACTTGTAATTTCCCCAAATCGGAAAGGACCCATAGCATATTAGTAAATACATACTTCCTCAGCTCAAATGTGATGGGTTATTGGGTTACATTAGAGAAGTTTTTTTAAAATAGGTTACACATCCGAATATACATTAGACATCAATTACAAAACTGTCATTTTCCAAATGTTAAAGCACCATAGTGCTCTATATATCTATAAGACATTAATGAGTGAACAGTATTTGGTATTCTAGTCATGTTATTATATGAACGAAACACCTAAAAGTGACAATTATTTAAAAACATATAGAGTATAAAAATCCGGGGATCAACTATTACATACCTGGCATGTGAAGTTAATATTATATCTGACCTAAGATTCTAAGACATATAATAATCTGCATAAATGTGGCATAGGAAGTACACATCATTTGCTCTTGGGGTGAGACATATAGTAAACAAGCTCCACACTTGGAAATAAACATTATTCACTCTAAATATAGGATAAGCGGAAAATAACATCATGATTTTATAGAATTATGGTGCTATGATAAGCCGTCATCAAAACTCTTCCATGTAACAATGATGTTTTATACATAAATAGGAAAAATATTACTAACACAAACAGACATAGAAACTTTTTATGAATTTTTATGAGGCTCTACATTTAGCAGACATTAAACAACTCCACTAATAGAAAAATACAGGCATGAGCTCAAAATCTCAAAAGAGGATCCTTACTCTCTGCCAATTATGGCACAAAGGTCACTATTATGTAACCCTTGTTAAGGTTGGAATCCATTAATTCTTGCAATCACATTTAAATGTTTTGCACTGCAACAAGAAAACTTTGATCCAAAACATAGATGGAGGGGGAAAAAAATTCATATGAATTTGCATCAATCCATCTACCAGAACCAACAACTCATTTTGAGATAATCAAACAAAAGAGCCTAACGCAGACAAATCATTACCAAGCACGCCCAATAGATCAACCATAGATTCAATATCATTTTACAACTCTCAAAAGCATGAAAGGAAATTACATTTAAAAAAAAAAACCTAAATGAATTAAGTCTCCTGGAAGGAAGAAAAAAACTCTTTCTAGGTCAATAATGATTTTATTTCATTTTAATCTCAACTTGAATCTCAAACCCAGATCGGAATCAGATAAGCAGGAAAGATAATACGGAAGTAGGTCAAAGAATAACAAGACATGGACAAGGGGTTGTGATATAGAGGCCATGAGAGAACATCACATATGCGTGTATAAAGGAACACTAACCATCTCCGTCTTTGTCAAACAGGCTGAATGCTTCCTTGAACTCAGAGATCTGATTGTCTGTGAGCTGATCCGCCATGGCTAGCTAGCGAGAGGGAGACGACGGACGGACAAGGAAAAAAGAGAAAATGAAAGGAATGAAATAGGCAAGGCGTCTTGTGTGGAAGAAAGAATAAAATGGAATGTGTGGCCTGTGGGGCGGCCGAAAGGGTGCGGTACGGTACCTCATTCCTTTCCACTATTCCACACCACAGTTTGTTTTCATTTACTATTCCCTCGTACATTGGCATCCTCATCAAATTAAGAATAAAACACACATACTATTAAAAAAGATCTTTTATATTTTTAGTTCTAAAATGAATAATTGTTCTGTGTTAATTTGACATGTATTTCAACTCTAAAAAAATGTTACAGTTATTAGTTTAGTTTCTTGATAACTTTTGTTTTTTACTCATTCTGATTGATTACTCCCTCGGTTCTAGAGTATTTGTCCACTTTCATTTTTGCACACCATTCAATGTACTTTTTTAATCCATTTATCTTGTAATTTGTATATTAAAAAATTATAGAAATTATATGTTAATAATCTATATGTTAAAACAAATCAAACAAGATCACGCATGACTATATTTAGGCTTACACATTGAGAGAATTTGATGAGTCAAAGTGCTTAGATGAACATTTCCAAAAGTCAAAAGTGGACGAATATAGCGGGACGGAGGTAGTATTTGATATAGTAAAATATTGTTGTTGCATCTTATTTTGTAGAATTTTATATGTGCTTTTGAACAGTGTAATTTTTTATTTTTATTTCTTTTTTTTGAACCGAAAGCAAATATATTTCATCACCAAAGTTCACCATACAATACAAAGACAAAAAACTCCCAGACTACTCCTAAAACGACATATTATGGAGCAGCACAAAAACAGATAACACTCCTAAACTTTCTTCCCTTCCAAATAAACTCCCACTTGATATAGTATCTCCCTAAAAACCTCCTCTTCTGTTTTATGTTTTCCTTGAAAATTTTTTTGATTTCGGGTCTTCCAAATCGCATAAGCAGTAGCTGCAAAAATAGAGATAATCTTCCTTCTTTTCTTCACTGGATGTATCTTCAAGCATCCCCTGATCAATGATGAATCCATCAGGACCTGGACTCTTATTATTGGGAATTTCAAACATGCATTTCCTAATTTCTTCAGTTGTAATAGGGGAAATTATCTCCAGCTGTTGTCTAATTGTCAAGCAGTCTCCCATTCTGATAATCTCTCCATTAATATCTTCAGTTGGATTAGATCTGCCCAATTGTTTTTGATAAAACTCAACCAACACCTCTGCTACTGCCAGCTTGCCTTCAACAACGATCTGTTCTGTATTCTTTATGGATGTTAGGTGATTAGTAAATAAAGTAATTTTAAAATAAAATAATTTTTAAAAAAAGATGATATTTTACCAATTTGTAAATAAAATAATTTTAAAAAAGATGATATTTTACATGTTCTTTGAAACGTTGCAAACAATTTGGGACGGAGAGAGTAGTTTTTTGTGTATTGTATATTGACATTTTGCCATTGTAACTCTTATTTTGAAATTTAAAATATAAAGTTCTTATTTTGTTACTTTCTCCATGTTCTACATGTATTTTAGTTTCTCTCTATCAAATTTTATTTTTTTTGTCAACCTAGCATTTAACATGTGTGATGAGTAGGATTAAACTAATTTTTCATTACTCCCTCCATCCCTTCTAGATTCTTCCCGTATCATATTACGATGTTTGATTAAGATTATTTTTAATTCATTAAGGTGAATAAATGTTAGTATGAAACCTAATAGTCACCCATGAAAGTTTTATTTAAAAAAATTGAAAGTAAACATGAAAAAGTTTTATTTGACTTCAATTTTTTGAATGAGTTTGAGACTTTGAGATATACAATAATTTTGGTAAAGTTGCAACAACCCCCGTCATTTTTCATTATTTTCTCTATCCACAAAATACTTATTATACGTTTTACTAAAAAGTTATTTTTCTTCCAACTATATATTACGTTATCTATCACATCTTCTCTATTCAGTATTAATTTTCTCATCATATTCTACTTTTATCCATCATGTTCAAGGACAAAAGTTAAAAAAAAATCCACTACAAAATACACTCTTAAATTTGTCAAAATGGAAACTCTTTTTTGAAACGAAAGGAGTACATTTTATCATATCTTTGCTTTCAGTTGTTAAACAACAATATAGAGTTGATCATGAGTGAATACTAACATAACTAAAAATGATCCAATAAAATATAATATTTGACCTTGTTTGGTGTTGTTGTTATTGTCGTCATCTTCGTTGTTCACAGTTAGTCTTTCATCACTCATGTTGTTATCTACCTGTAGACTTGTGCAAAAAGGGCTAGCTAGCTCAGTGCGCCCATAAAAATAGGTGAATATGGACAACAATAATGACCCACATAGGCAGTGGCGCATCCAGAAAAAAATATGACTAGGGGCAAATGCACAATAAAGAGTATAGTGGGGTTCATGGGTGGCACTCCCGATTTTTTTAAAGCATTTGATAATGATAAAAAATAAATAAATTCAATCTCAAACAAGTATTCAAATAAAAAATAATTTTTAAAATAGAAAAATAAAATATAGAATATATCATAACATAATGTAATTATGATATTTCAAATCTTTTACTTGTATATGTTTTTAAGTGATTATTTTTTACTTTTAAAATAAGATTTTCTTTTATCAGTGGGGGAAAACTATTTTTTTGCCGGGGTCGTTCTTTTAATTCTCTACAAAAAATTATTTTAATGCTATATATTACATAGTAAAAAAATTGACTGGGGGCGACTGCCCCGTTCATACATGTAGATTGCACATAGGCAGATCGAGCCTAGCCCAATCATTTAATATAATATTTGAGAGTAGATGGCCTAGAATTTTGACACATGGCAATTGAAGAGCTATATTATTAAGACACGTCACAATACACGCGTCTGATTCTTAGAGGAAATAGAGAAAGACTTTCCATCGAAAAAGAAGCCCGTCTTCTTCGCTTCTCCACGCGGAAATCTTCATCTCATCAACCCGTGGCTGATTCTTCTCCAAAAATATCTCAGATTTTCCGCTTGATTTCTTCACCGAAGGAAAGGAATTGTATAGCCAAAGGAAAGTGTGCAATTTCGTGGAGAAATGTATTTCGGATCCGAAATTCTCAAAGCTTCAAAACAAGGTATGTTTCCAAAAATCATATGCATCAATTATTCAAGAATCAAGAAGAATTTATTTTACATCGTTGCCAGCTCTTAATCTCTGTCCTGTAGATCCAAATTTTTTCAGATCCTATTCCCAAATTATTGTTTCGCCCGCCGGCTATGGCACCGTCTGAGCTTGAGGAACCTTCATGAAGAAAGCCGTTTGTTACGCGGTCGTAATCCCAAAACGAAATTTTGGGGGAATTTCTCTTTTTCCTTTTGCAAACATCGATTCTGATTTGATAATGTTGGCCGGCATACTTCCTTTTTCCTTTTGCAAAAGGAATTCTCTCATTGATAATAAAAGGAATTTCTCTTTTTCCTTTTGCAAACTTTGGCCGGCAAAATTCCTTCATCTGCAAAATCTGGTAATGATCTCCGATTGTGATTGATAAAATTGATATCGATTGATGAAAAATTTCTCTTTTTCCTTTTGCAAACATCAATTTTGTAGGAGTAATGGATAACGATGACTGTGTGATAGATTGACGAAATAAGTGAGTATGCTATTTTTTATATATTCCTTTTTAATCGTGCTTTATGGGGTGATTTATGAAATATATTCATGGAGGCTGGTGTCCATGGCGACGAGGGTGGTAAGACGGATGGTCACAGTTTCAGGCGATGACAGTGCAGGGTTGATATGTACTTTTGATCATCTTCACAGGTTTTCTCTACAATTTCATAAACTTAATTTAATTTATAGGGTTGGGAGAGAAATTTTCACCCCAACATTACAGAAGTTATTTACACATAGGAGGTCACACTTTGTAGTGTGTTTTTTGCTTTTCTACTTTGTTTTAGTTATACTGTGTTATTGTACACCCTCAAGGTCCCAAGCAGGTCCCATCTCTTTTCAGTTTGTAGATTTGCACGGCAAAAGAAGAGTCACCACCTGTTCGATGAAATGTCTTAGTGAACGGAACTCCAACAAGTTAGGATGATCAAAAAACCACCGTAGCCCGTTATGCTCCTGATCTGTTTACGGTATGACACTTCCATCCATTTTAAACATTTCCTTTGACGTCTAGCTGACAATAAATAATGGTATTTTTTTAAATTGTTAACACGAAAAGTGAACCATAATCAATCGGGAGGGAATGACAAACAATATTGTTGGGTAATATTCAAATCCCACGATCTCCATTTTTTGGAATCAATTGGGGAAGGCGTATGGTCCTTGAAGTCATAGGGTTTTAAAGAGACTAGACGTCATTGTGTTGATGGTTGGAGAGAATCACATAGCCATGGAAACACCCCCATACACACCTTTCAAGAAATGGAGAAATCGACACCTGTACTAAGACAAGGGGTCACATACTTTGTAAATAATAATCAGAAACATGCTTCTGCTTCATATGAAAATGTCCTTAACCTTATCATTTTTTCCAAACTTAATCAATGAAGATAAGTCTCAAAGTGCAATCAGTATGTAAACCAGTAACAAGTTGGAGAAAATAATCACCCCCACCAAAAAAGACAGTTTTGTATCAATTAGGTTGAGTCAATCGAGAAAGAAGACAAAGCGAAGAAGCGCCAAGAAGAATGACAGGTTTAGATCCTCTTTCGCTTTTCTCTGGCCACTGGCCTTATCCATGCCAACACTTTTTAAAGTGCTCCCAAATGATAGCAACCTAGACATCTCTTTCTTTGTTAACTCGATTACTCCCTAAGATGACTAACTAATTAAACATTCAGTTGATGTTTTATTTACTCTTATTCTATGATTACATGTATATTCCCATTTTGCATCATTAGTTGTTTGTTGTTTTTTATTCTTGCTGTTTAGACCTTAAAGTACAAGTAAAGAAGACTACATATTAGAATATATTTAGAATTATGAGGTTAATATGAAACAAAATTTAATTTTTTGTAAGTTTATTTCAACTTTGTTGATTTATTGTTTTAAAGTTGTCAATGGTTTGAGGTCTCATCACTGCTTTATGTGATGTGTGTAAGTAAGTCATGTTTATAAATTGATCTTCATTTAAATTTTCTTTAAATGATTCAGGTTAAGTTCCCTAATGGTTTGCCCCCACCTCCATCTCTAAGTGAGTATGCTATTTTTTATATATTCCCTTTTAATTGTGCTTTCTGGGGGGGATTTTTAAAGTATATATTTTTTTTTCAAAAAAAACATTTGTCTAAATGCGTTATCTATTAATCTTATGTGCACTACTTTGGTTGCTATAGAAAAAAGAGAGAAACTTATGAAGCTGGAACCACAACTAAAGAGTTTACTCCCAGGCTTATAAATAGTTCAATGCATAGTTATGGTTTGATCTTCTATGGGCATACAACAGCTTTATATGATCGGTACATGTGTTGGGAGATGAAAGTGTCGATGCTATAGAACTTTTGTACGGAGTATATAGTTCTCATTTACTTATACGTTTTTTGTTCTTGAGTTGTGGAAAGCATAAGGGTGATGTACAATGGTTTCTTAGACAATTGCAATTTGTTATTGTACATTGTAGTCAACTTAGGTTACCAACTTCAAGGTTTTCACTCAAGAAATGAAGTGAGAGGAATGCAAGGTTATTACAATTGGCCTCTTTAATAGTTGTTTCTTGAAGAGAAAGTTTACATCTTGCAGGTTTCAAATGTTTGGAAGTGAACAAAGTGAGAAAGTCCAGTTATTGCAGACACTATTGCCCGTAGCTAGCTTTGGAATGCTCTTTGACTTAATTTTATAATTATAATTAAGGGTATTAGGTTTCCATGTCCTTTTCTTTTTGAGATTTTCTCCTCCCCGCACTCCCCCAATTTTTTCAATTGGCTTTCGATTCTATTGTCGATTTGTAAATTTATTTATTACTTATAGTAGTAACAAATTTAAAAAAAGTTTTACATATACTTTTGTTATGAAGTGTTTATTCTTTATATTTTGAAGCAAATTAATTGTCATGCATGACATGGGTCAATCTCCATTACGTGTCAGATTACTTTTAAAATCTCAATCTTTAATTGTTTTCAATATTAAAAGGTTGTCTCGCGTGTAAAAATTTTGCAAGAATTGAAGATCTTGAGTTACGATGATCAAAATAGACCCCTGAATCAGAATTCAAATGTGGTGTATAATAAAGTTAATCAAAATTTCTAACTATTGTCCAATTCATTTAAAAATAATTTGAACCAATTATTTGTGACGTGACTTATTTGAACCAATTTTAATCATATGAAACATGACTTAATTATATACTCTCTTCGTCTATAAGTATTTGCCCACTTTTGATTTTTTTTAGTTAAAATTGGTAAACTTTGACTTCAAATTAAATAAAAATGATATTAGATATTGATACAAAAGGAGTTTTATTAGATTATTATATCAAATATTTTCAAAATATTATTTTATTTAATTAAAATACAATATATATTTTATTTAATTATAGGTCAAAGATTGAAAATAATTAACCGAAAAAAGTTAAAACTAGACAAATACTCAGAGACGGAGGTAGGAATATTAGAATATAATATTCTTACAGTGCATTTTACGAGATAGTTATGTTGAGATTCTCCCGAAACCTTGATTCTTGACACAAGTTCTCCTCTCAAGAGTATAGTACGTGGACTTCACTTATCTGAACATATTAGAGAATATGAATACTTTTCTTTTTTGAGGATATGACACTATTAGGACTAACTCTTGAAGTAGTTGAAATGATAAATTAATTTGTCATGTCTCTCATTTCCAGTGATGAAAAAAGAGTACTTGAGTTGTGATTCTTCATGCCAAGCAGATCGATGCAGATTCTTCGTGATGATTGATAACCATTTAGTTTTTGAATAAAATCAAATGTTCGAGAATCTCAAACAACAAAATAGTTTTGAAAAAGGGGGTACGATTTTATTATTAAGAAACATTAACCAACATCTATATTGTGTAATGATACAAGATTAATCGTTGAAGAGTTATGAAATAATGTTATGAGTGCAATTATGGTTTCGGAAAATCGAGTTAGGGAAAAGGCTGAAATACCTAGATAGAATTTGGTATCGTCTTATCTATGAGTACTCATGAAGTTCTAGAGATTTCAATTCTCAATAGTTATATGTTTTTCTATAACTATTAACAAAAGTAGAGGTCAAACATTGTCATTTGTTATAATTTTTTAACCAAATCAGTGTTCACTCATGGTCAGTCATGATCAACTTTATGTTGCTGTTTCACGAGTGAAAAAGAAAAAATATGATTAATAATATTAGTTCTAGATGATAATGAAAATCCTTGCAACCAAATCAAAAATGTTCTATACTCTAAAGTCTTTCCAAAAGTATAGATTTAAAAAAGGTAATTTGAGGTGTTCATTTTTAAATTTATATATATAAACTTTCATTACCAAACATTAATTGCTAAATTATTTATTTTACTTTGATTTTAAAGTTTATAATGTTAAAGAACGCATTACATATATTTTCATTAATTCATTAAAAATATTATATACAAAATAATTTAGAGAAGCGACAAAAATTTTGTTCAACCCTGTGCGTTGCACGGGTTAAATACTAGTTTTTATATATATGGGCAAATATGGGAATTAAGATAGGCGCATTGGGGCCAGCATGGCCGGCCATTTTTTTAAAAAAAAAACATTAAAATCATACTATTAAATTATGTGTCTCTAGTGTGTCGTCAATAACCTATTACTTTTTCATTTTATATTTAGCCATATGTAACACTATTACAACTTTCTTCTTGTTTTTGGTCATGCTGGATTATTGTTGTCTATTACTCTCTTCTTCGTTGTAATATTATTATCAAATATGATTTCTATTTTATTTGACATATTTTTTTACCTAGTGCCATTTTTGGGCCTGAAAGCCTAGGCAACCTGACCCGCCTTGATGAACCTATATAGGCATAGCTTTAGCCCATTTGGTTCACGCCAAGCCAGCCCTCTCATACAAATGACTATTTAGTGTTAAGCTCGGCCCGAGTCTAGCCTAGATTCTATCTGCACATGTCTATCTACATGTTACATATACAGAGTTAAAAAGCTAATTTTCCACCCAACCTCTCTCAATTATGCTTCTCCCCCATCCTCAGATACGCCTTTATTTACATTGTTAGGATCCTCCATTCAAATTTCCATGTGCGAGATAATAAGTTTTCAATTCTACGATGAAGATAAATGTTGATATTAGGGTTTCGAAGGGTAATTGAGGATGGGAGAAGGGTTTCATGCAGAGAAAGGGTAGAAAACAAAACAATTAAGTTAATAGGGATACCTTCAACCTTCAAAATGGACCATTTTAAAAAATATCTTAATATCATATATACTAATAGGGGCCATGTATAGAATGTGTCACGATAAATACGTGCTAATAGATTAAATTTCATGACCTGTCACACAATAACCCTCGGCCTTCAGGACAGCCTCACCCCATTCATAAATCAAAATGACTTTTACAGAATTAAAAAACTCTGTCCTACTTCACATGTCAAATTTTAAAAACTTAGTACAAATTCTGATAAATAATATGCTTAATTACAAATTAAATTTTATATGATTGAGTTCATTTTAAGATGTAATTATACCATTTCAAATCTGTATAACATTTATGCTTTTTAGGTTATACTACATTACTTACCAGGCGTAGTTCTAGAATCCACACTCATTTTATAGGCCTTAATATAAGAAAGAATTATATGTATTGAACATTGTAAAAATAAAGAGATTCAATCACGAGTACATGCCAAATATGTGAAAAATCTACATTTCACATATGAACTTTAGTACCATAATAGCAAAACTCTACTATTCATATTAATATCCATTCAGATTGGGCCGACACATGGGTTTACAGACCACCCTATCTTCTACCGCCCATACCCAAAATAATACCAAGTCAAGCCCACAACTTTGTAGGCAAAGCCAGGCCCGTGATGGAGTCTAGAATTTCTTTTCATATTTCTATTTTGATATTTCTAAACGATTGACAAATTTTCAAAATGCAAAGCTTTTATTGCCTTTTAAATGTTCTACAAAAGACATAACTTCAAAACATGTTGAACTCAAAACTCCATGAAGTGCAAATACTCCGCATATATAGTATATAATATAATGTGTGTAGTACCTAAAATGACTGCGCAACGATTTCCATTTGGAGGCATCGCCATCCATGAAAGTAAAACAAAAAATGAGAATAATGGGGGGTTTCATATAGAACAGAAAGCTACAACAAGTTTTGCTACAAGGCCACAGGCTACCTTCATTATTTTCCTTTGCCCCTTTCCTCATGTCTCAACTCCGTCATCAAGAACGCGGGTCCCAGATTTGTTCCTCCCATGTAAATACATAGCTCCATGCTTGACCGTGTAGAGGCAATTCCTCAGGTGACTCCAAAACACCGATTAGAAGATTGAGAAGTTGAGGAAAGTATATCAGGACTTGGCAGCAAAGAGTTCAGGCGTTGAATTTCAGGAGTAACTAAAAAATTATTGGGGTATTACCGTATTAGTGTATTGCCCAAAAACAGAAGAAAAAAAGTGCACAGTAAAACTATGTGAATATGAAGTCTAAGACTTATGAGTACAAATTAATAACAAGCTACTCAGGATTAACTCTAAAACGTTGTGTCATTGTTACCTGTATTTTATGAGCTGTGCTGGACTTGCCGGTGTAATTGAAGAATCCAATCCATATAGCCATTTGAACCACCCATTTGGTCCTCAACTAGATTCTTGAGTAGGAAAAGGCCTTCTCGGGGCTGTTCACCTTGCCTCACAATGTGAGGTAACTGATAGTATGATGGGTCGCTTTGCCGATACTTTCTAAGCAAGCCCATTAACTTTCTTGACATTTCATTATCTTGCTCACGAATGCAAACCTGACCATCAAGACATAATGAATAATCACAACCAGACAACAATTGCCAATTTGCAAAGTATAACTATGGTGAGATTCTCTTTTCATATAGAAGTAGTATTCACTGTAATGTATTTTTTGAATTTTAGTAATAATCCTTTGGGATGGGATCAGGGGGGTAGTTCACGGTTCAGGGGGTGTTAAACCTTTCATGTATGCCATTTATTCATCATGTTTCTCTTTTACAGTTTATTTTTTTCATTATCAATGATGGAGACAAAGATTCACTACTACGCATATTTTAGCTTTGGGGTATGATGGAATAAAGTAAAATGACTCTTTTTATTGTTTGTGCTTCTTCTAATAGTGAAGAAGTGGTTAGTCAATGCAACTTTTGAGCCGCTCTATGTTTTAACATAGGGGTCGGCTGCGTACATCTCCCCCCCCCCTCTTACCATGCAACAGGCGGGAGCCCTTGAGGCATTGGGGTAATGTTGTTGTTGTTGTTGTTGTTGTGTCTCTTTTACCGTTAAGATTTTTGGAATAATGAACACAGCCTAAAAAAGTTCGCAAGTCGGGAAAATTTTACAAAAGTGGAAGGAAAACAAATAAAAAACAATGCACATAATAACCAAGTTTGTACTTCAAAATCAGGTCAGATATAGATTCACTAAATGATCATTAATGCGGATATGTGTGCGCTTTCAATGTTAGGAAGTATAAGCACATATCTTATATAACCTTCAGAGCTGAACATAAAACAAAATAAATCATTTCTGTTCTGTAAAGTGGATAACTTTTTTATAAGCAACATGTTATGATATTTTGTATTTTGTTCAAAAGTAGGGAATTCCCAACTGAATTCCACCACAAAATGTGGGAAACATTATTTCCCAACCATGCCTTTGTCATTAAAGTCAATAACATGATTTATTAAAAGGGATAAAATTTAAAAAAAAAACACTCTCCGTCCCACAATGATTTTCTCACTTTACCTTACCAGAGATTAAGAAAAGTGCTGAAATGTAAAATGTGTAGTTAGAATTTGTGTTACAACAAAAACAACAAAGAAACCCAGGTTACGTAGTAGTATCCCACAGGAGTAGGGGCAGACTGTGTGTACTCTTGGGGGGGGGGGGTGTACGCAACCTTATCCCTACTTGGAAGTAGAGAGACTGTTATACAAAAAGCATAGATAGAGTAAAATTGATAGAATTTAGGATGGGATATGGACAACTGGATTGGTAATAAGACACTTGGGCTGAACCACATTAAAAGATTGAATCCAATCAATTAGTTAGTTCAAGTCAAGAGCTTATATACCGATTATTTTACTCTTGGACTTCTGATGTGGGATGCACTCTAACACTCCCCCTCAAGTGGACAACCGGACCATTTTGAATCTAACCGGTTGACCACTTGCAAATGAACTCCCATTCCCTTGACTTTTTTTTAGCGCCAACACCTAAAGGACCACGAGCCGCTGGGTATGGACTTCCAGACGAGCAATCGTGTTAAATAGGCCACAGGCCGTTGGGTACATACTCCATACGGACAACTCAGCTAAAGACTAACAGGCCGCTAGGAATGAACGTCTAGACGGATACCTTGACAAACGAGGTGGGCCAAAACTTGCTTTGATACCATAATAAAATTTAGGATGGGGTATGGACAACTGGATTGGGTAATAAGACACTTGGTCTGAACCACAATAAAAGATTGAATCCAATCAATTAGTTAGTTCAAGTCAAGAGCTTATATATCGATTATTTTACTCTTGGACTTCCAATGTGGGATGCACTCTAACAAAAATAAAGTAAAAACAGAGACAAGGACAATGTGAAAGCACAGACTCAAGAAGCACATATATTGACAATGGCAACTAGCAAAGCATAGAGAGCATAGAGCACTCATGTAGTTAGATTTTGTGTTGAAGAGAGAAATACTATGAGCTACATATTTCTTTCAAAAAACAGAAAGGGGAAAGTGGAAAGTTTATACTGGGAAAGACAAAAGAAAAGTGAGAAAATATTTGAGGGACGGAGGGGTAGAATGGGAATCCTACCTTTGAAAAGTCTGCAGTGAAATCATCACCCAGTAAAGCCTTGGTAAAATCAGGTGAAAGCATTCTTCCAAACCATATAACAAACTGAAAGCCATCATCATAGATATAGAGTCCACTGTCTTCCAAACTACCTATGGTAAGTGGCAGCCCTCTCAACATGTTCCTGGAATCCTCAACAGAAGCAGATGTCTGCAAATCATAGATCGAAACAAGATTCAGAATATCAGAGATGGAGGCAAAAGTTGAATCTCTAAACGAAGAATCTACATATACCAAAGATATGCATGTGAAAGATGTCGTTAGTATTCCTTGTGTTGTTTGAGTGTGTGTGTGTGGGGGTGGGGGGGTCTTTAGTTTAATGAATGTCCATGACCATGAATAAGGTATAGCCTGAGGCCTGAGGTATCCCAGCAACATTTTGATTCTTGATTTAAATGTCCTAACAGAAAAAATCTAAACCATTTGTAAACATTGCACTATTGCTTAAATTTTTGTCCAAATGTCCAATGCAACTATGTCAATCTGTAACTTTCAAAAACCACGTGATTAGCTTCAGAAATGCTACTACCATCCATAAAAAAAAGTAATATATTATTATATTGATGAGTGCAAATTTCTAATTAAATAGGCTTCATTTTATTATGGAAAAAATGCATGGATTGGCTATATTGGAGATATTTGGCTTCATTTGGCATATCAATTACCCCTGGACTACAAGAAACAAAGANGCATTAACTATAGGAGGTGGGGCACACTAAAATATACCCTATCAAACAACAGCCATAACTTACTTTCAGAAGATACTCATCTATGCGGGTTAAAGTAGGATACAAAAGTTTCAACAACTTTGCAACAGGCAATGCCATCATAGTGAATCCAGCAGCACTGCGCTCATCAAGTTGAACATCAGAATAACCACCACGTAGTGGTGTTGACTTAGATAGAGCAAGTCCATACAAAGGCAATAGTTTCAGTGATTCAGGATATATCATCCTCCCAGCCAGTCGATGTTGAACAGCATACAGATTGCGATATTCTCTAAAGGCTTTAACAATTCTGAGGTGAACTGAATTTCTAGCTTCTTCCAATTTAGAGGAAAGAGTTTTCTCAATAGCTGCACAAAAATATCATTTTCAGAACATAAGAGCAAAAAGAAATGTCAATAACAAACAATGGCATGGAGTGGGATAGTTATTTCCATACCTAGCCTACTGAACAAAGAAACAATAGCACCAGCATCAGCAAGGCGATACATTTCTCCTAACTCTGCAACCACAGGTGCTGCAGCTGTGTGTACCCTAATGCGCCTTTCTCCAGACGATGATGTGTATCTTTGTATTATTAAAGAAACTTCAAGGGACTTAAATTAAATAAACCATAAACCCATAAAATAGTGTCATCATATCTAAAAAGTAAAAATCCAGTCAATTGACAAGTGGTCGCTTTATCCTTTTCATCCCCCCCCCCCTCCCCACAGTTTCACTTCACTCCCTCCATTTACAAAGAAGCAATGCTATGATGGTGCATGCAAAAATGATTAATTGAAAATCATGATTAGAGACCATAAGAGGCTCATTAATTCCTCCAAATCATCTGTAGCTTGATATTTGCACAAAATATATATGGAAAGAAACTGCTTCAAAACTCTGTGCTTGATTTTATGCCAAGTCCCTAGTCCTTGAACCCATCTACTCTGTTCTCTTTCGTCGGAGACCAAAGAAGGTATAATATCTTTGTTGCCCACGATATCACATTTCCGACATCGCAGGGATGCTCTTGAAGTCTTTAGATCCAACACAAGGGTCATTGACTCCTTCGAGGCAGATGATCAGTCTAGTATTCTTTATAACTAGTCAGACTATCTCACGAATATTTGAGAGAAGGGATATAGGGGCAACAAATGAAATTTGATACCTAAGGGGAGAAGAAATCTATCCCGAGTTACACGCAAAGGTACACCTTTATATTTTTCTATGGAGGACAGAAATTTGGGAATTAAACATGTAGCTGGCACGATAGGAAAGTACGATCTTCAAGGTTCTAGGGGAAATAGTAACTGATATGGATTGAAGGATACAACAGAGCAACTTGGAAATACACAGTCTGGGTAGTTAGCAGTGTTTCTTCGAGTGATAGCTGCATTGCATAAGCCTTATCACAGTCAGCAGCTGGAAGTGCTAGTAGATCAGTGGATCGCAGCATAAAATTACCATGATACGTTGTAAAGCGAATGCCTTGAACAACAAAAAAAAACATGCAATTAGTTTCAAATGAAAGCATGTTGAACTAAAATTCTATCTGTGCTGCAGATTTGTTTTTGAGAAGATGTTCCCCATGGGGTCTCAATAATACCCACTTCTATGGTTTTCACTACAAAAACTAGTTTTTTTTGTTTCGAGAGATTATGAAGGAAAAATCTGCAATGGCATTCTAATTTTAAAAGATTGTAAGCTTAGTGGACCAGGATTGAAAAATAAAAAATAAAACCTGACCTTTTCCACATCGTATTCGCATGACAGACTCCCAGGCCGTCTCTCTTGTCAAATCTCTTTCCAATTCATGCCTCAATTTATCTTGATGAATGGAAGCATGGAAACTTGGATAATGATAAACCTGACCGCCAGTATACTTTGACAGGGTCCCTATACAAGTACACGATATCATCTTATGATTATAGTTGCATAGTGTGACATTAAATAACAAACACCAAACACTAAACTAAAGTAGTTACCTGCTAATGCAAGTATATATAACAGAAAATGGAATTCAAAGTCCATAAAAATTGTAAATATAAAAGCCTAACCTACAACTGAATATGCCTAAGATCTGACATTACAATATACTCCGTATAAAATTGTAGGGTTTGTAGCAGTTAGTTTAGCTCTACGTTGTTAACTTATGCAAACATAATCTTCAGTTGTGTCAAAGTGTTGAGCTTCTAGTCCTTAGATCTGTCTTCTGTTTGTTTCCATCAAACAGTTTACCTGTCTCCTACCAATGTATGTGCAGTTGTACATCATTTAGATTAGTTGAGAGAACAGTAGACAAAAAAGACTGTAGACCTGTGAACTATAAGAAGGATATATTGTATTGATGTGAAGTCTTTATAGTAAGTCCATATACAAGGATGCATGTTATAGGTCAAGCCAAACATAGTTAGTGCTTAAGCATTCCCCGTTGAGCTAGTTATAGAAGCCAACTGCCAAGCGAGTTATAAATGCACTCTATTCTACATTTTTAGGAGCTCTAAGGGGACTTAATACAAATATCAGCTAACTACACTTATCTCTTCCAAAAATAGAAATATGGTACGGCATTGGAGAAGAATCTGTGTGTAATGTATCTGTATGTACGTATACATGTGTAGATTGGATATTGAAAGGTAAATGAAATTACCTAATGTCGCTAAATCAGTAAATTTGTCACTAAATGTATATACATTTACTGCAATTTGATACTTGGTGAAATCAGCAGCCATCTGTTTATAAAAAGGATCTTCTGGTATTCTCAGCATATGTTCTTTATCAGTCCCATACAGGCGAGGATCATCTCCACGCAGCATCAAGCGGCCAATGCCCAGTGATGGCAGTGTGTTCTGAAAGATCAATAGTTTACCACCAAGTTGGTTCTGGCAGTAGGAACACAAGTTTTAGTATTTATACCTTTGAAGACAACTAAAAAAAGACTAAACAATTCCACACAACTAGTAAATGAAAAGAATGGTGTAGAGTCCATTAAGGAATTTGCACACCATAATCATATATGCAGCTTTAAGGGCAGGACCAAATGCCGATTCCACATTTAAATTATGTTCAAACATTGTAGGCAGGAAGTCGAGAAATGCATCTACGACAGCTCTAGATTCTGACAAGTTGGCAAGAAGATCATCTGGCAATGGAACAAAAGTGTCTTCAAGATCTGATACAACCATCATCTGAGGTTGTGCTAAAGATGACTGGCAGAAAGAGGGAAAGACTTAGATAGTGGAACACTGAGATGTTTGAAGCATCTCAAAGAATAATGAATTACACGAAAACGCCACTTGCCTTCATATTATAAAAATGTATGGTAGTGTCATAAGTTATGAACCCAATTTGTGTTCTAGGAAATCCAGGCAATCTATCCAAACAACTTTTGATGGTTTTTGCTATCACCTGTAAGACATTCACAGTTGAAATACATCATTCAACATTTTTTCCGGTAGGTATGAATTCAAGTGCAAGAACTTTGCATATAGGGCTAAGTGCTATATCACAATGCACATGATGGTGCAACACCTGCACTTGAGTAATAAAAGCAAGTAATCCAGAATTTTGAAATACAAGTCCTCACCTCAAGCATTCCGCTTTTAACAGCAGATATTGATACATCAATGAGAAAAAAATACAACGGCGGCATTGGAGGTCGGACCATATATTCAGCTGGAGCTATAAAATCCACACTACCTTTAGTGAGCTCAGGCCGCTGGTCAAGATCAACTCTTCTGCCACTGGCATCTAAATGTGCAAAATAATCACCAGGAACTGCACAAATAGTTCAAATTGATGAGGCAAATGATTAATGTACAAACAAATAAATAAACTAGAACAATCAACTGCCGAATTAGCCGGAGACTTGCCAATCAGCATACACAGTTCAACAGATAACCTATTGGACAGAATAATACAAGTAAAGCTGGGTGCTTCCTCAACAAAAAAAAAGACAAAAAAAAACTAAAGATGGGTGCTTCCTACCATAGTATCATCAATCATAAATTTAATGTAATATAGCATAGCACAGCACAGAATAGCATAGAAAATATAATTCTCCCTCTGTTCATAATTAGTGTTCGCAGTTTGACTTACACTGTTACACATAAATTAAGTGCGGTTAAAAAGTGGGTATAAATTTGTATGAAGTTATTTATTGAGGAGAGGAATGGTGTGAAATGATGGAAAAACTTATTTGAAAGTGAAAAATACCATAAAATAAAAGGTGAACACTAATTTGTGAAACCAAATAATGAAATAGCGACACTCAAACAGCAATAAGGAATGGAGGGAGTACAATACAAAACCATAAAAGTTGACTTGTGAAACAAATGTTGTACATATGTCAGTAAGATATTGTTGAGAAACCCAAATGTTAGTTGAACAATGGTAAGTTAACGTTAGAATGTTAGTTGGATGTTACTACGTCATGAGAAATGTTAGTTGACATTTAAAGGAATATGTTTTCTCTCTCTCTCATTTGACTATTTGATTATTATTGTTGACCATTCGATATACATTAGCTTGAGTTTGTATCTTCTTGCCCATAACTTTTTTATCATGTCAAAAAGGGGAAGTATTCAAATACTGGTTAGCATTTAAGCGCGCTAGAAACTACTCTCAGTATACCAATACTATATTGGAGTTTCAAATACTAGACTGTTTCAACTATCAAAACAGCTAGTTTTTCAAATATTATTGGCCTATCTTATCGCCCTTTCACCGCCAACATAGTACAACACTTATGGCAAAAATCCTTTGATTAACAAGAGCATTCATAAGCCTATTTTTTCATATATTCTCCATATATTCAAGCAAAGTGATCCTTATCAAAATCTTATTGTTTGAGCTCATATCCTGCTTGCTTGAGTCTTTGAGAGAAAGTAAATGTCATATTCTAACAGCATCATTGTATTTCGGTAATCTACTCTTTTAGAGAGTTATTCCAGTGAGCCTTTGGTTTGTTTATTGTAAAAGAGAAGGAGAGTCATTTATCTTGTTGTGGTTATTGTTGAAGAATCAATATTCTACAATTACTTGAAGTGCGATATCTTCAAGTGGGAAGAGATTCTTGACGTGTGGAATCCTTGGGTGAAAAATAAGAGACTTGTGCACTCAAAGTTCTCAAGTTGTAAGGTTTTCCAAACACAGTTAAGTTTGGAGGTAAGTTAGTAGAAATCTTGGGCACCATTAATTGGAGACTAGATATAGGCACGGAGGTTAGTCAAACCATTATATATCATGTGTTCTTTATTGCTTTTCACTCCATCTTTAATTGGTGTTTGAGTGATTGAGCATTTCATACATGAGAGGTATTTGAGAGAAACATCCTGCAAAAAATTCTCATTTTTTCTACAACTCAATTCACCCCTCCCCCCCTAGAATTGAAGGATTTGTTCAACATTAGGTGTGCACAGTTGTAACAATTCAAAATAAGTTGCTATCTAGTCTCTGATGTGAATCAAGATTACTTGATTTACGGCATAGGCTCAGAAGAGGAGCCGAAAAAATATTAAGACTACCGAATAGGTTACCCGGATAAATTCTTGAAATTCCTTGACGCAAAATGGTCGATCGTCGGGAGCTAACGGTTGACCAATGAAGACCTCCGAAACAACGAGCGCCAATCCGAGGCACGGTCGACCATCACGTTACCAAGGTGCAGGGTCAGAACGCTGGAAGGATGGCTGTCCATCACCTGAACCGTGGGGGAAGAATGGTCAACCATTCTTGGGCAATTAGAGTTCCAGAAATTGCCCATTAATTTCCTACTTTGGCTTGATTTTAATTATGTATTTTCCAAATATATTTAAAATCTTTTCAAGGTATATCTTGGTCGCTATCTCAAGATCAAGGTTGGTGGAAGAAGCCAAGGAAGATTATGTGATTCTTTTATGAAAAAATTACCGAGATAATTACCATTGTCTTTAAATGGTAATTAAAGAGGAAAGATTGGAATTGAAGACTAATTTCTCTTGGCTTCAAATGGGGGTTGGAAGAAAAGATCAAAGAGGATCAAATAATTTAATTTGATAGGATTTTTATTGTGATATTTGCACCTTCCGTGAAGTTTAGTATTTCATTTATTTTAAATAAGTAGTTAAATTATGCATATAAATTTATATTATGCCCCTAAATAAGCTTTTTATTTCTATTTGTAAAACATCTTGAATTAGAATGAAAAGTGTGTGTGTTTTGTAATCATGTGTGGGTTATTATTTTGGTCCCGTGTTGATCGCGAAATTCGTCAGAATTTCAACGTGTATGTTGTAAAACTACAGCTTTGGTGTTTTCACGGCGGGTCTTGTGGAGGTGTCAAAGTCATAAACTAGTGAGTCTCTAAATCACCTTATCCCTACGCCTATTCGTACGAAAGAATTCCTGGGAAAACAATACCCACCTTCCGCCGGTTTCGAGCGCATCAGCCTCTCTCCCTGTGACATGAAAAAGGAAATATAGAATTCCTTCTTTCCCTTTCAATATTATAAGGGATATGCAAGAGTAAGGCTAAATATACTTTTAAACAACATTTGAAAGGGTATATTTTATAATGTTAACAAAAGATACAACAGTGGGAGTGAGTTATTTTACATCTAAATTGAGCATCAGAAATTGCTTCTATAACCAAATACAACATGGTTGTACTAGTTGAAGATAACTTTAGTTCAGCCGTTTGACTATTGGCAGTTTATCATACCCATGCATCTATATTATATAATATAGTTAAATGTGCAAAGGCCCTGGTGAAGAAATTAGTCATTTGGTAGCAAGAACTTAGAACCTTTAAAAAAAAGTAGTTGAATGTTCAAGAAAAAGAAAAAGAAAAAGAAAAAATAGAAAATATTAAGGATGGCTAAAAAATGCTCAATAATATAAGAAGCATGTCCTTTCATATGAGCTATTTCCAAATGAACTAGTACACCATAAACCATAAAAAGACAGTATTTGTGAATTAAAAAAAACATTCTACATAACTGTTACTCTCGCTGCTCTCTTTTAACTATCACTTATTCACGCTCTCAGTCTCTCACTTTATCACTTCAGGTTGTCAGGAGAATATTAATTGCTCATTGTTCATCATTACAAATCTCCATCCATAGATGTTAGACAGTAAATGAAAATAACAATAGGGGCATTTTAGTCATATAGATGGTTCACCTTGAATTAAGGAATATGCATTACTTTCTTGATAGTGCAGAAAAACAATAGTTAAAATAGAACATATGGATATTTACCATCGTTGTGCAATTGGCACATGTTGCACTTCCATTTTCTTCCACTATCTGTAAATGTCACGTATGGGTTTACATAGGTGCGACACTTTCTGCAACGTATAATGCCAGTTGTGGCAAAATTGATTACCGGAACTTCTTCCTGGTGGAGGAACATTTTCATTAGGTATGGATGAGAAATGCACTAGAAAACTTAAACTGACAACAATTCGCAAGCATCATAATATATATACAAACCCCATCAGGAGCCTCGGCAAGAGGGCACACAACAGCTCCAAGAGATAAATACCATCTTGAAGCTAAAGACTGCGAGTTTGGAATGCCACTGGTTGTCAGCCGTAGATACCTAGAACTGCAGTTCATAGGGAACTTTTCTGACAATGGGCTCTCCTGCCTATTGTCTTCAACCTCAAGAGGCCTTGGTAAAACTTTCGCATCAATTCCTGTTTCAAAAGATCCTGGAACAGACCCAATAGAAAGTGATTTGAAGTCTTCTACCAATCCATGCATTTGAGGTATGGGAGGTGCAGAACCAGAAGGGGTCATTGGATTGGGTGGAAAATATCCTCCTTGTGAAAGAAAAGAGCTAGGTGGTGCAGACATATATCCTCCTTGTTGAGAAGGAAAGAATGTAGCTTGCCCAGTTGGAGGTTGTGAAACGACAGTTGTTTGCTGACTAGGATATCCTGGAAAACCTGGTTGCAAGATGGGTCTGTCCGGAGAATATGATGAAAATGTAGGCATAGATTGCTGAAAGCTACGCATAGGAGCTGGATAATTTGGACCATTAGGGGACTGAGGAACCGCAGCACTCGGCTGAGAAGTGCTCATGCTCTGCGGAGGACCCGCAAGGGGAATTGGAGGCGATGAAATAGGGGCTGAAACAGGTCTAGCTGATGACGGGGAAGATGGAAATTGGGAGGTTGAAGAAAACGGCGGGGTTGGATAACGCTGGAGAGAGGTAGTAGCTGAGGGACCATAGGATGCTGGCGTTGGAGGTGGACGTGATGGGTCATTAAAACTAGAAATCCCTGGGGCCATAGGTCTGAAACCAGAAGATTCTGATCCAGCCACATATCCAGATGAGTAAGAAGTGGGAGGGGGAGGCTGAAAATTGGATGTTTGTGCCCCAACGACAGGTCCAGGTGATTGGAAAGGGGTTGAACTTTGTGGAGCTGAAAAAGGTGTGGAAGCATGTCTTGACGGAAAATTTGGTCGATTGGGGTTCTCAGTCCCCATGGATTATTGACAATGCTCCTACACACTTTATCACCCTAAACCAAAAAAGAAAGCTTTAGTACACTGATGACATTAAAAGTGAGAAGAGCAGAAATCAATAAGATTCAATCACAATGAATGTGTACTCGGCAACAACCCAATAGCTACAAAAATTAAAATTGCAAGCCGTATTAGAATAATCATGTCTCTTAGAAATCACTTAACACTTCAACCATAATAGTCCATAGGATTGAATTAAACCACTCACAACTGATACTTGCAACAAGAAAATTATAACTAATCCCGACCTCTCTAAATCGCTGGAATTATTACAAACAGCAGCAAAATAACCGCAATAAATTAACGGGACAGATTCGGAAGAAACCCCAGGCTGCAATAAAGATTACAAGAATGCAATAACCCAGATAAGAGCCTCAGAACTACGAAATCGCTACCTTGCTCGTGGTCTTCCCTGTGGCGGAGAATTCCGGTTCCAAGGCCGGAGATCAGCGGGACTTCCTGATTTGAAACTGCTAGAACTGCAATTTATGTGGCAATTACTATGTGCCGGAAAGGATGTGGCGTAAGCCTGCGGAAAAGATCTAGAAAAAAGGGAAAAGGGTGAAGAAATTACAAATGCCGGAAAAAGTAAATTATTAAAAAATCACTAAATTAAATAATCACCTTAACAATACGGAGCATGTACCAAAACTAATGTTGGATAAAAAGGTAATATGTTATATACATACATACATGGATATTATATATATATATATATATGTATGTATATATGTATATATGTATATATATATATATATATATATATCGTTTAAAATGCCACCAATTACTTATACACCATTTACTTACACTAGTTCTTTTGGGTACTTACGGTACCCCGTTTATAAAAATGACGGTTTTTATCTCCCTAAGTGTGTTTGAACGGAACGGAGCCTAAGTGTGTTTGAACATCTTTATAACACCACAAAAAATGTTTAAGTTTGTAAAAAGACTAACTTTTAAATTTCAAATGCATAGTGTAAAAATTTCATTAACAAATGTTATACTCCCTCCATCCCACAAAACATTACTCATTTTGAATAGTATTTGATCAAAAAATTACACACTTTGACTACAAATTGTGAAAAAAGTATATTGAATTATAATACTCCGTATAAATTTAATATAATTGGATTCATATTAGGATCTAGTTTTGATATATCAAATTTTTATAACATTTCTTTATTTAGATTATATTTAATTTATGGTTAAAACGTGAAACTATTTTGACCAAAAATTCATCTAAATAGTACTCCGTAAATGTTTTGTGGGACGGAGGGAGTATGTCTTATCATTATTCTAACTTTTAGGGTTGATGTTTTGTTTTGTGTGATATTTGAAAAATGATATTTAAATAAAAAATATAAAATAATAAAAATCGTTTCATCCATGCATGACACGACTTAAAATACTAGTAAGAGAACATGGCCTAACTAAGTCCACCACTCGGTCCACTCTCGTAACGACAAATGATTCATTGTCCTATAGTAGCTAATTGTCATATGGAGTAATCATTAGGGAGAATTTCTTTTAAAACAATCATTAGGGAGTATAGAGCTCCGATCACCAATTATCTTTTGTCTGTTTGGCTTTCTTTCCTAATCTTCACTCCATATTACTTTATGAAGATTTGAAGAAACTTAATGATGCAGCTTTTCTTGAATTGTGAGTAATAATCTAGTACTACTTATGAAAAAACATCATGGATTACACTTATATGGTACACGTTTCATTTTTTTCTTTTGTTATTTTGGTCGTTAGATAAGAGGAGCTATAATTTCTACTCGTATTTATTTTAATGAAAAATTGTTCATTAAATTGAGATATAAATACAAAGATGGCCCAATAAATTGTTCACTTTAATAACCACAAACATGTAACTAGTTCTTTGAATCCAACTCAAGAAATCACATTAACATCATGAGTGTGCATTCTTGGTCCCCAATAGGAAGGAAATAATGGAGTATTTATTAATTATGCAAATTTACACTTCCAGTCCTAGATAGAAATAATTTGAAATGGTTTATAATGCAATTCCTTCTTTATTTAGTAACCTTGGGTATGCTCATATTTGGTACCGAAATATCTTAACGATCAAATCCAGTTCATGTTGTTTGTTTTATATTCGTACGGTTTTGCATAAATCTCTCTTCGCTAATTGACAGAAAAAGGGAAGCTCTTCTACTTGCTAAGATGGAGTCTGATCATCATGACATCAGTGAAAATCTATTGAAAAACAAAAGAGATTTTGAAGAGTGTGGTGATGAGGAGGCAAGACTAGGGGAGAAGATATGGTCAGAGATGAAGAAAGTGTCGGTCGTGGCTTTCCCGGCAATATTTACCAGATTCTCAACATTTGGGATTAGTGTCATCAGTCAGGCATTTATTGGCCACATTGACCCTATTGATCTTGCAGCCTATGCTTTGGTACAAACTGTACTGCTCAGGTTTTGCAATGGAGTTTTGGTAAGCTGTGTAGGACAGTCCTTTAAAAAGTCTTTTTTAGTCTTAACTCTTAGCATGTTTCTTGCTAAATAGAATACTTGTAAAGTAAAAAAGGATTCTTTAAGCTGAGAATCTAATAACCAAAGAGTTTATGTTGTATGTGCAGTTGGGGATGGCGAGTGGATTGGAAACACTATTAGGGCAAGCATTTGGTGCAAAGCAGTATCACATGATGGGAATATATCTCCAAAGATCATGGATTGTCTTGTCCACAACCACAACTTTGTTCGTGCCGCTGTTTTTCTTCACCACCCCGATATTTAAAGCACTGGGGCAAGATGAAGACATTGCGCAAGTGGCAGGAACCGTTTCCCATTGGTTTATACCGGTGGCATATGCATACATTGTATCGTTCACCTGTCAAATGTACCTACAAGCACAGAGCAAGAACTTTTTCATTTCGTACCTCGCAGCTGCCACGCTGGCGATTCACATTTCACTGTCCTGGCTCTTGACAGTGAAGCTCAAATGTGGACTTTCGGGTGCCATGGTTTCTACTATATTAGCATTCTGGATCCCTAATTGGGGTCAGCTTTTGTATGTCATGTGTGGAGGATGCAGAGAAACTTGGACTGGTTTTTCGTTCATGGCATTCAAGGATCTTGTGCCTGTCATCAAGCTTTCCTTGTCTGCTGGTGCCATGGTCTGGTGAGCCCATATGTAATGAAAGATATTCAAAACTGATTTGTAATCCTTCAATCCAAAATTGAGTTGTTCAGTCAAAACCTTGTGTCAAAATGTTGAGTGTTTTCTTAAGAACAAACATTCTGAGTTTGCATTTTCTATTTCACTTTGGTGGCAGTCTTGAAGTCTGGTACAACTCGATATTGATTCTTCTTACAGGAAACTTGCAGGATGCTAAGATTCAGATTGATGCTTTGTCTATATGGTTAGCCATTTTTTTCCCTGACATTTTTCTTAGGATTTGAATGCATATGAGCTTCAGTTTTTCATTGCACGATGACAATGATGCATCTATTCTTTTGCAGCCTCAACATGAGCGGGTGGGGAATGATGATATCTCTCGGTTTCATGGCTGCAGCATGGTAACTTCTTTTTATTTCTTTTAGAGTCCCACATCGGAACTTTGAAGGAAAAAAATAATGGGTTAATAAAATAAGATCTCGAGTTGAACTAGATAATCAATTGAAATCAATTTTTAAATACGGTTCAGCCCAAGTGTCTTATGACCCAGCCCTAGAGACCACTACCCCATCCTAAATTCTATCCATTGAAGCTACCCTACATCAGCCCAGATAAAAAAGCTTTGAGCTACCCTGAATGATGCTGATGTACCTATGACATGGGGGCTTATTACAGCGTGCGAGTTGCGAATGAGCTGGGAAGGGGAAGTGCAAAGGCTGCCAAGTTAACAATCAATGTGGTTTTGCTATCTTCCTTCACCATCGGACTAGTGATATTTCTGTTTTTGCTATTCCTTCGCGGGAGGCTGGCTTACTTGTTCGCCGACAGTCAGGAAGTGGTCGAGGCAGTTGATCAGTTATCACCTTTGTTAGCAGTTTCTGTCCTTCTGAACAGTGTTCAGCCTGTGCTTTCTGGTACACCAACCTTCCACCCTTATTGTCTGCTCATGACAATCAAAACACACCATACTATGATGATGATGATGATTATGGGTTTGTGCTACATTCCTACATATAGGAGTTTCGATAGGAGCTGGATGGCAGAGTACGGTGGCATATGTTAACATTGGATGTTATTACCTGGTTGGGATTCCGGTTGGCCTCCTTCTTGGTTATGTCCTGAATTTGCAGGTCAAGGTGAGTGGCTAATAGGGAAAGATAAGATACTATTTTTGAAAACCCAAACATATCTAATATGAATTTAAGATTATTAGTCAATGCAAAGCCAAACATTAAAAAAAATACTCCCCTAGTTTTCCCCTTTTCCTACCACTTTCTGAGTTCCAAAGATAGCCATTGAGTTCAAGTTTTACTTATAGGAAAACAACAGTGAACAGACACAAGTATGAAATTGCTCTTTCTCAACTGTGTTGCAGGGCGTTTGGATTGGAATGCTATTTGGTACGCTCGTACAGACGATTGTGTTGCTTATAATCACTTTCAGAACAGATTGGGACAAACAGGTAACTATTGCTTCATCTCTTGCGGTCGGTCACTTTTTAATACTCTTACTGTTTTGCAAAAAAAGACACTTTTTAGAGAGCGAAGGCAGTAATTCATTGTACTCATTTTGTCATTGTCATATGGTGCTCCAGGTTGTAGATGCTCAGCTGCGCGTGCGTAGTTGGATTGTAGAACCCAAATCTGGCGGCACAAACGGTTCAGATGGTTAATGTACCACACTATGTACTTTGTGTGTAGTTATGTTGTAACAAAAAAAGAAGGAACATGCTATAGTCACACCAAATTTAACATCAAAATCTGACACTGTGTTTGACAGACATGCATAGATATTTTCTCTGAGCCACACAGACAGCCTATGTGTTTGTGTGAAACACGTGGTGTCAAACTTGAGTGTTAAACTTGGTGTGATTAGAGATTTACCCAAACAAGAACTCATGTGTTTTCAAATGTTTTTTTCCTGGTTAAGTGCATTGCGAACTTGATGTGTATTATGGTGATTGAAATATCTCGTATTCAGCTAGGATACGCTAACCTAAACAATTCACCAAAGTCATAAGTAATAGGAGATATATTATAAGTTTCCAAATTATGCTTTTTAGTGAATCCCCCCCCTCAACGACCTCCAAGAGTAGAGCAGGACTTGTTTGCTCACTTCGAAATCAAAGTGAATGAGAAATTGGAAACTAAGTCTTTCTCCAATATTGCCACACCCTTTCCGGACTCTTACCACCACATGGGTTTTTTCTTGTGCCTCGTCTTCATTATATCTATGGCTATGTACTTATCCTTTACTCTTGCCTTGATTTTTTAGTTCCACACTATCAATATTACCTGAATTTGGGCATTATCCCTTGATCAAAAATGAAAAACATTAGTAGCTGTTGATTCATTATTTTGAATATATTTGAATTTATTGTGTTCAGTGAGCTTTTTACTTATACTTTTTAAACTATTCAATGAACAATTCAAAGGGCAGGCATCCGGTTGCTTACCTGGTTTCGGTCCTTGAGAGAAAATAACAACATTTTCGTTAAGAACGTGGATAAAATAGTAAATCCGCACTCCTTTCTCTCTTCAATTAAGTTTCATCCCTCCCCTCGCATTTCTTTGCCAAACCCGTCGCTAAGTTTGAAACTTTGAACCCAAAACCAAAATAATCACTAATCTCTCAATTGTTTGTCTAGCTGGTGGAACCCAAATTCGAAGCGAGTAACCCTCATGGTAGAGTTTTAAAGTTTACTTTTTTTGACCCAAATTCGAAGCGAGTAACCCTCATGGTAGAGTTTTAAAGTTTACTTTTTTTGCAAACCGAGTAGGGCATATATCTTTTTAAAATAAGGAGCAACTCTAAATTCAAACTGTAGACACACAAATACTCCGCAAGTTCATAAATCCCATCATAATGAACCCAAGGCCGACTCAAAACCGTCAGACTTTGTCAATATTCATAGAATTTGTCCGGGAAAAGAACACCTACACAGTACAACCCTAGACACACCAGCTCTCTCTCGCACTGACATACACTTCAGTCATCTCTTCGCCGCCGCCGCCGCCCCCGACCGCGGCCGCCGGCTTAGTTGCCGCCGCTTAATTGTTTACGGCATTGCAACGCCGTTGTTTTTTCCGGGACCGACCCTTTCGAAGTTCTTTATCTTTCACATTGAAATAAGATTCATCCTGCTCAGTTATCACACGGGATTTTTATTTACCAACCTGAATTTAGAGTTAATTGATAATGACGGAGATCGAGATTGCCGGAGACGATCATCAGGGTTTGAATGGCGCCCCCAAGTCGCACTGGAAGTCACCGCAAGCTCCTGGTGAGATTTCGTCTCCTGTAGGTGCAGCGGATTCTGATTCCTGGCCCGCGCTTTCAGATGCTCAGCAGCGGCGCAAGAGTAATAACTCTGGTTCTAGTTCCTCCAAGTCTTTGCCTCCGCCCACCCAAAGAAAGACAGTCGACTCTTCTCAACCTTCACCTCCTGTTGTGGTCAGTTTGAATTTCCCTCTCGATCATTACCATATACTGATAGTCCTTATTTCTTCGTGATGAATAGTGCCCTCTGTAGTCTGTTCTATTGTGATTTTTACGTGTGGCTTACCCCGTTACCCCCATTAACTTATTGTGATCGTTACGGCTGGATCAAATTTAACTGTTCGTGCGGTTTACCACCTTACTCCCATTAACTTTTGTGATCATTATGTTCAGTGGCAGAAGGTTTTTGGCTTACAATTGCATTCACATTTTCTATGTGTTATTTTATTTTACAGGGCTCTGTAGAGAACAGGAAGTTTCAGGGGCATGCCAATACTAAACATTTGCCGAGGCCCTTGTCTGCACGTCAGCCGAAAACAGGTCCAAGGCACAGGCCTAATGGTGCACCTCCATTTCCGGTGCCCATGGCATACCATCAACCTGGATTTCCTGTTTACCCTCCCATGATACCTGTTCCACACTTTCAAGTCCCCGGATACCCCTACCAGCGTCCCCGAGGCACTTTTCCTGGTACTGAAGGTCATGTGGTTAACTCAGGTCCCAATATATCAACTAAACCTTTTCTTCCACCAGCAAAAGGTAGTGTTGAGCCATCGTTACAAGGCGATCACAATCCCCACGATTCCAAATCATTCTTGGGAAGGACAAATAAGCATGAACACAACTTGCAGTCCAAGTCAGCATTCCCTATTCCGCATTCAATTGGTTCCAAAGATAACATTCAGCTACAACCAACCATGGGACAAAGGCCATTCTTACGACCACCATTTTATGGTCCAGCTCCTTCCTTTGTTGATGGATCAAACTTTCTTGGTAATATCACATACTCTTTGGTGCACATATAGAAGTGGGCACTTTTGAGCTACAAATTGAATCTTTCTTTCATGTGATCATTTCTTTACCACTCTAGAAAGCCCCAACAAACATTTGTGATCTCTCATTGCCCTTATAAATTAGCTGATGTTTGTTCACAATTGCAACTGAATTTACTATTTGGAGTATTATTTTGGAACACTTTGTTCTGTTAGTTTCCTAATCTTTTGTCAGATTGTTACCCAACTATGGTGTTATAAAAATGCTTTACTATGTTGCTATTTTCTTATATACTGTATTACCGTACACTCCATACAGGACCTCCAGGACCTATATACTATCTCCACCATCCACCTTCCTTTGGTGTTGTCAGAGCACCTTACCCACCTCACTTACTCCCGCCTCCAATGCCATCCTCACCAATACTAACTCTGAGAGCTAGCATAATGAAGCAAATTGAGTATTATTTCAGGTGAATGATCATTAATATTGTTATTTTTATCCATGCTTGATAATATTATTGTTATTAAGTTATTGTAATTTTTACTAGTACTGTTGGCCATGCTAGGTGATATTATATGTATTTTACTGTTACTTATAAATTCAATAAAGTATTTAACGTGTTTTGACTATATTTTATGTCATATGTTATATAAACACTTGTCTTTACATTTGTGCAATATGCAGGCACTCATGTGCGCATGTACATGTCTATATATATGTTTATATCTGTGCACGTATGAGTCAAACTACTGCCATATAAAATTATAAATAGGTCATCTTTGAGAGTTAAAATACTACTTCCAATAAGCAGGCCACAACCAAAAAGTCTGTTTTGTTTTATAATAATGCTTCCATCCGTGGTTATCAAGGCGATAAATCGAGTCAAGTCGTTGACAAAGGAACTAGTGGAGTAGTCGACTAGTTAGTCGGGCTAGTCGATGATTAGTTGACAAGTCATAGTAAGTAACACAATCCTTTAAAATATACTCTGTATCATCTAACATTTTTATAACAAAATTTAGTTGCACAAATAATAATAATAATAATAATAGAATAAAAGAAAACAAAAATCTAGAAGTAAATAAAAGCATTATTCAAAGAAGGTTCAAAAGAGTACAAAGTATTAATTGCACATACATGGGCCTATCCTTAGGCCTTCCAAAGAAAAAAAAAAAGAAAATAAAAATAGGGAGTAAAATGAAAGTTGGGCTCAGAGATCTAGAAGTAACGAAAAGACTAATTGTAAATTAAGGTGACGGCAGCAGCAATGGACAACCACAACAACATCGACAAACGACCACGACGGCGGCAGACCTACTTCCCTGTTGCGGTAGTGGCGGCAGATCTACTTTCTCCATGGGTTAGGGTTTTCAGATCTGGATTTTGCCGTCCTTCACTCTAGTCGCTAGTCGCTGGCGTCAATCATCTCTTCCCAGTGACCGGATGCATAGTCGACGACTTAATAACCATGCTTCCATCTCAATAGTTCCTTGCTTAAGTTACATGGGTTGTATTAAGAAGAATATGATACTATCCACAGTATGATCTGTGAACTTCAACTAGGAGAAAATTCAATCCTCAATACAACCTATGAAGTTTCTAGTTTAATATGATCTGTGGGTACAAGTTGAATTATTGTTTTAACTATTAAGGGGTAGAACAACCAACCCAGTTAATGAGTAAGGACTAAGAAATTAGTTCCACAACTGGGGGAAATAAGGTATTCATTCCGTGTTAGATAAAAAACTTAAAATACAAGCTCAATTAATTCATTTCAATAAATTAAGAGTTTTCTTCCAACAAAAAAAACTATTTTCATTCAATGTTTATTACAAGACTAAAACAAAGAACTCAAAATATTCAAACATTCATTCATAATAACAAAAGAAATTGAACATCACTTGAGAACAAATCAATGCACATAACTTTTAATTCATAACTTTGTATGCAATAAGAGAAACAAATGGTTAAACATGTGTGTTCAGTTTCCACAGTCCAATACATAACCTTTGAATTGGGAAACTTTTAATCCATGTCCAGTCCTTGTAATTTTCAATCAAATCTAATGGATCAAATTTTATATGGTGGGTTTCATAGATTCACAAGTTTTCTACTTACTCTTATTGTTCGAGGCAGTTCAATAGAACTTATTTTCATTACTGTTTAGTTCAGTATTGCGTAGTTCAAATTTACACCACAAGCAGTTCAGTTAAGTTCATTGAGCTGAATTCCATTCAGCTATATTAAGTGGTCTCTTAGTGTAGTTTTAGTATATAAGGGGAGGGTTGCTGATATTTTAGATTTTAATTATAAATTTAAAATTTAAAAGTGGAAAGTCATCTTTGATGCTGAAGTTAGGATGGAAGTAGCTTTGTTTGCTTAGGGTGAGAATGTGATATATCTGGATCTTGATAAGAATGAAGAACTTTCATGTTGGCTATTTGTTATTATTTCTATTGGGAGATAATCTAACTTGTTGCCCTACTCTTAAAATTTCAAACAGCATTTTAATTTTTTACTCATTGACATCCTTTTGGCAGTGATGAGAATTTGCAGAGTGACCACTACTTACTTTCTTTGATGGACAACCACGGCTGGGTTCCAATTTCAATTATTGCTGGATTTAAAAGAGTATGTTTTAATTTAGTTTTCACATTAATTTGTGCTTTTCTGGAGTT